AAAATTATTAAATAAATTACATATAGGAAAAGCTATGGGAAACTTTTTCGCTTAAAAAAAGTATGAAGAAAAGTTTACAACCTCGGTGCATTAAAGAAAATATTAAAAATTTTACTTTTATCTTTTATTTATTATAATTTTGAGACGTATAAGTAACACATGCCCTTACAAAATCCTAAAAGGTAACGTTTCCTGGAAAAGTTGACCAGAGACACCCTTAGGGCCTGTTTGATTGGGCACTTTTCCAAAAAAAGGAATCCGGGAAGCTGACCAAAATTACACATGACTTGGCTAAGCAAAATTTAATTCTTGATATGTAAATTGAGGCACAATATTATTGGTTATGAAAGGAAAGGTGATGCATTATATTGTCATTATAATTGATTACCTTGGAGAAATAAGTGATTACCAATATAATTGATTATTTCTTCTTTAATCTTTATGATCAATTATGTCCACTTTTTTGAGAAAAAACCTTGGAAAAAAACTTTCTTAGGAAAGTGATAATATAATCTATTATTTTTTGTTATAATCAATTATATTTTGGTTTGGGTTGCACATTAAAAAATTAAGTTTTTTAAGTTAAGCCATGTGCAATTTTAGTCACTTCTCCTAAAATATCCAGGGAAGTGGCGGGGAGTAATCCCTATAAGATTTGGTGAACCCATAGTCTGTGCAACCAAATTAATTAGTGAAAAAAAAAAAACAGTAATTCGAAGCTTAAATTGGTGGGTCAAGAAAAGTAATTAATAGATTAGACGTAGTATTAAAGAAAAAAGGAGATGAGAGTTTTCAAACTTATACTTTCCTTGAGTTACAACCCCGTGGGGGAAGGGGTTCAAACCCGTTGCCTTTGATGAGAAGCATTTGACCACTAAGGTGTTTGGGTCATCAGGCCACCAGCTGCTCCTCAAGAATTTATTATATGTTTTTTTAAATATATAAGATGATAAATTATATAATAAAAAATAACTCATACTTTATGTTTTGTCTCTTGATATTCGACAATATTTCTTATATTTTGTGAAGCAACTTTTCTTTCATTTATTTATTTACTTTTAGATAGAATGTGAATGATTAAAAGTGCCAATACTTGAAGCAAAATGAAACTATTTTAAAAAGAAAGGAATGATTCATGGTCAAAGTTGATTAGTTGAGTAAGTCAGCTAGAAATGAAGATTAATGATTGTTAATGGAACAATTATAATCATAATGAACACTATAGGAGGTGCTTGGCTGGGGATGTTTTCCCAATTATTTGTAAAAGTTTAAAAATATTTGATAGTTGCTTGTCCCAATATTGCAATGTTGTAACTAGTTCTATTTTCATTCACAATCGCTAAAGCGGGAAATTTTTTTCCACAACTTCTGGATATAAAACTCTTCGCAACTCTCCTGCATTAAGAGTCAAGACTTACTTCTTAAGTTTTACTGTTGAAAGTGTAGCCACAATTTCTCACCAAACATGAGAAAATTAAAGTAGTACTATAAGGATAATTTTTTTTTTTAATTATTTTTATATGTTATTAAATGAGTTGATATATTGTGTTAAACTGTTTCTCCTTTAATATAAGTCCCATTTCTACAAAAAAAAAAAAAGAGTTGATATATTTAATATTACAAGTTTTATATAAATTAAAAAATTTAATTATTTTAATGACACGTCAAATTATAAAAAAAAAATAAAACAGTTATACAAAAATCATTTCTCAAAAAATTAATATACAAAATTTATCAACTTCCCACACAAAATTTTTCCATAACTTTCAACAACAAAACTGTCCCCTATCCAAACAAGCCTCAGGGATTGCTTCTTCTAGTAGGCATAGATCTATTGCATGTTAAAGGACACCTGCAAATACCAACCGGGCCTGAGTCCCAATAGTTGGTCCCCAAGCCTTAGGACTTAAGTGAGGCGGAGGTCAGGGCTTCGAGCCCTGCCACCGCCGTGAACTCAACCTAATAATCACGCACTTCATATGAGGGGGTCGAACGTTCACTATCCTGAAAAAATTTCACCTGCTAATAGACTAACTTTACTAACTTCTTAACCATCTACCTGATCAAAAAAAAAAAAAAAAAGGGACACCTGCAAATTGCCCCTCCATTTACTTTTTTTGGCCCACCAATTTAATATACTCCAAAACCAATGTATAGTGGAATTAAAGTTACTAAACAAGGACAGCGTTTCTAAAAAAAAGGGATTCTAAAAAAAAGGGACAACGTCACTTGCTTGTGAAAGGAATTTTGCTTTTTAAAATTGAAGTTCGGTTGCATAATTTTCTTTCTGTTGCCATGATACAATAAGAATAAATATTCGCATCTGCCCATTGACCAAGTGACTTTCGACCATCTTGAGATGCACTCCCTTCCCTCTTGGGTCAGTGGGTGGGTTCTAATCCGATCCATGATAACATTATTCAAAAAAAAAAAAAAAGAATAAATATTCTTTAGACGCCATATTGTAGTTCCAATGGCAAGCTGCATGAGGCA